CGCCACCGATCACAATTGTTATTGCACTATGAATTGTTATTACACAAATGTCACACACTATGAAGCATATGTAACAATTAAATTAAAATTCACTAAAAACAAACAAAATAATAAACAATTATAAATAAAAAAATTAACAATTAATACTTAAAAAAGCAATTAATAGCCATAAAAAACAAGCTAACAATAAATAACTAACAAAAAAATCAACAGTCCTGCTTAACCTAATATATTACAACCTAATAAAAGTTATTTGTCATTTAATCTGCAAGAACAGATTTCCCACTGATGTTACTTTAGAATTACGCGTATAACTGAGACATTGCAAAATGTATTTTCTTTTCAATGTAAATAAAGAGTTTTGAGTTGATAGTATTTAGTATTATTATTTTCCCAATAATCATGAAGTCAAAATTATTTGACGGCACCTCTGTGATTTCATTAAACAATTTTTTAGAAAAAATGGCACGTTGGTGTATAAAGGTTCGCCACCCCTGGTATAGGAAGTTTCCCTTCTTTACGCGAAGCGTATAAGTTCTTTGGTTAAGCCACATGCGCTGAAATAATTTAAAGTGAAAAAATCAATATTTTGCTAAAGAAATAATTAATAAATAAAACATTGTTAAAATAAAGTGCCAGCCATAAAAAAACAATTAACGATATTTAATAAAAAAGAAGATTAAATGAACAGGACTGGCCGAGAATGCCAGGTGGAGAAAAACACTGCACATACTGACTGCGCTGGAGGAAAACAGTCACTGTACTGCAGGAAGAGAAAAAAAAATTCTGCTTGGGTTGTCATAACTACTAGAGGAACTCGCTAAACGTGAGAGCGGATTCCCAGAAATTGTTCGTTAATCGCTACACTGGCGCAGCTAGTCGCTGCAACTGCTCTAACTTAAAATACTCGACTTCGCGCGCAGATCGTCGGGCTACTAAAGCCTGGGAGCCATCCCCTCTGCAGAGGATCATAATTGTATTGGCATGTATTTGGATCTTTCTTAGGTAATTTTCCCAGATCATCGCGAATGTGCAGCTTTTGTGTCACGTAAATAAATTACTACTACTACTAATTATATATATTAATCAGACTTCAAAATTGATAATGAGAGGGAGAATAGATCAATTAAAAAGCAAAATAACAAGAGAACATTTTAACGATAATCTCTGAACTGTCAAGTAAAGTGATTTTTGTATTCCTTAATAAGAGTATACCACGTTTTCCTGAAGTACAATAAAAGTAGAAAAGAAATAAAAAGTGAGTTCCTTTACCAAAACAAATTAACTAAAATGAGAGCTTAAGGTCGAACGAATCGAAGCAATCTGCGTTTAGACACTGAGGAATGTTCTTGCCTACAGAAATGATAGTATGTTTGTTTTTGTGCTATTATTTGTAATTCATTCACGTTCTTGGGACCTAGACTTACTATCAAGCTAAAAAGGCGCTTCATTTATCAATGCACGTTACTGAACTGGGGAAATTCATATGTAACTTTTTAGAGGTGTTATGGGTTCTCAGTTTTTCTTCATGAACGAGAACGCTACAGCTCATCGTAATGTGTCAAACCAATTGGAAAATATTCAACTAGCCAGGATTGAATCTAAATCTAATCAAACACAGACTGCAGGGAGATGCTTCGAATAGCCGTTTTGGTGCTGCAAACAAGAATCAATAACAACCTTGTACTCAACACAAATAGATGGTGTAAATCCTGCATCGAAGTCAGGGATCTGATCATAACCACCAAACTCTAGATTTTCCTTGTCACTTGGTCGTTTCGATCTTTTGCCGAATTATATTAAAGCTAAGTTTTCGATAAAGCTCTTTTTTTAACTTTTGAATCTTTTATTTATTTATTTTTGTAAGTTTGGTCCTTTTCTTTTTTTAAATGCTCTTACAACTAAAGAAAATGACTAGATTAAATTAATCGATCCATTTTTTGTCCCTGACAAATATAGGTGGAGGCATTTTATAGAATAATTTTTAATCATTGAATGTCTTGCTCTCTTTTTTAAGTCTTTTGAAAGAGATCAACACTATATATTTTTTAAACTTGTAAAGATGTGGCAATTTATATTTCAGTTGGCTATTACTGTAACTTTATATTTCATATATGTAGACATGTCCTTATGAGTGTTTTCTCAGTGTACTTTTGACTTGTGTTTCGTGTGTATCATCGGATTTGCATCTTTATTTCAACATTTGAATTTCTGAGGTATTACATTTTCTTATTTAGTTTTTTCAGTAGTGGGCACAGTCAGTTTTTGATTTAACCTCTTACTACAGAAAATCTTTAGTGTGTTAGCTGACAGTGTGTCCCCTGATGAAGTGCTGTTTTTGCTAGCATACATATCTTTAAAATTTCGTTTTGCTTATTTTTGGTTTCCACTTTTTATTTTAATTATTTACATAAGACAAATTTGGTTTTAGTTGTTTTTAACGCTTTTTTATTTTTACTTATTATTTTAAAGTTTTATCTTAAAATTTTTTTAAATCAATATCTTATTTTGATTGGATAGTAATACCATATTTAAGAGTTATTAAATATCAGTTTACAATTACTATACTATTTTTTTGTTACTATGTTAGCGTTACTTTGCAACTCTTACTAAAACATATGTTTTTTAAGCACCTTTACTATTTTTTCGAATATACTTTTACTACAGGAAAAAGAGATTTAAAAACATTGATAGCAATGTTACTCTATTCAATAACCAAATACTAATTACAAATAAGGCCAATTACCTAGGCCTATGCATAAATGATAAACTCACTTGGAACCTCCATATAGATAAAACAGTAAACAAAGCCTATGCTGCCTATAGCTGCATTAGACCACTACTGAACTCTAACTCAGCACTTCCACTTAACCTAAAGAGGCTAATGCATTAGACCGATACTGACATACGCCAGCCCTGCTTGGGGCTGCGTAAAGCCAAACCAAATTAAAAAACTGGATATAGTACAAAATAAAATTCTCCGGCGTATCACTGGAGCACCTTTCTACCTCCCAAACTCTAACTAGTTTTGAATATATTTTTATTAAGAGGAGGAAGCAAAAAACTATAAGCAACATTTTATTGTTACTATATACGAGATAATTTATTAAATAGTAACAGCTTCGTAACTCTTACATTGTTACTTTGTAATTCGCATTGAAGCATATGTTTTTAATGCATCTTAGCTATTTTTTGAAAATACTTTTGCTGACGTATGTTTGGAACATATTTTTATTACAAGAAGGAAGCAAGAAATTATAACTAACATACTTCATTTTATTATTACTACTATTACTATGTTAGAGTTACTTTGCTATTCTTTTCTAAAGCAGATGTTTTTAATGCACCTTAACTATTTACATACAGAAGAATGCTTTATTTTAAGCGTTTGTTTTGCGCAAACTATTTTCTCATCAGAAAAAAATTATACTATGAACACTTTCATAAGTGCCGCGTGCCAATTCAGCAAATTTTTACCTTTCGTAACCTTTTTAATATTTGCTCAGTAGTTAAGTCTTTTTTGTTTTGTGATAAGGGAGAAAACCCAGGTCTCCATTTAATATAATTAGCATAGTCCTACGTCTCGCGTTCCACTTTATTAGCAGAACGTTGTAGATTTTCTTTGTATCTTCTCACGAATTCATTCTTATGTACGAACTAAGCGTGGACGACCAGACCTGGATTGATTTTTATAGCTATTAGTATGCAATAATCAATCTATAGCTCTACTTATAAATGTTCTATTAAACCCAAAAGATTTTAATTGCTTAAATATTCTACCTGCAAAACTTCACAATCGAAATTCTGTTAAATCATCAACCTTTTCGATTCCATTTTTAAAATTATTCTAAATATTTTGCTTAAAACAAATTCGACTCACAGAAACAGAGGGAGAGAGAGAGAGAGAAAGAGGGCAATTGTTTTACCAAAACTATGAATATTAACTTTTATTTTTTGGAGTGTTACAATATTTAGTAGCCACCCCGTTGACCCACGTTCCTATGCTATGTATCCGAAGTGTATGTTTTAGTACGTTTAACCATCCCTCCAAGTTTGTCCCATCATTGTAAAATCACCCTGTATTATTTGCTAAGTATTTGTGCAGTTTTGAAATAACTAAATCACACAGGACTGCAAAAGTATATATATATATGTATATTTTTAAATCGATAATGACAAAAAGTTGTATTAATTGCTATGAAAGCGAGAAATCGGGCGATGTTCCTTAAAAAACGGGACATTTTATTTAAGAATAAAACCTGGTATTTAAATCCATACAAATACTATTGTTGTTTACCTTTCCTCATAAACTTGGACTGTGTCATGTCGAAGAGATCTGAGATGGGAAGTACCTCCCTGTTCACCATGTTGTTGCTCTTCATCTGCTCGAATGTGCAGTGATTGGATATGGCCTTGATGGCTTCGGGGGAGAGAGGGCGTTCCAGAAACGATGCTATCTTGGACACCATGCCCGGAAGATCCTGCAAAAGACCATTTCAATACTCTCGTTCACAATTAGGTGGAAGAAGTAAAAATATGATTACCACAGTGTTGAAAAAGAAAACAGTTGCCCCTTGAGGAAAAGCATAATTCAAGATTGTGTACTTTTGTTGGATTTTATTTTATCGGCGTATTTCTTACAGATTTGACTTGCAGGCGAGCACTAAAATATGAACTTGGAGTTTCCTAATTAATGAATGCCTTTCAAGGTGACTTTGATACCCTTATATTTCAAGATGACATTATTAAAATTTGCCTGGCTGAAAAACTGTTTTTATAAACATTAACGCACCCGATTGGAAAACAAAATCACTTGACTTAAATCCCATAGAAAAACAATTGGATAATTTGAAATAGCGGGCTCACATAGTTTATCGAAATTCCGTCTCCAAGGAAAATAAAAAAAAAACCACAATTTAGCTGTTTTACACTCAAAACAAAGCAATGATTTTAAATTATATACATCATCTTGTATGACGAATTATCTGGAATTTAGAAAGGACAAATGACTTAAATAATTTAAAAGTTACTATTATTTTTAAAAAAAAAATCTATTTAGTGACATTTTTCTACTTAGATAAAAATTAACAAAATCTCTGCCTTATTCTCAGTTTTTGCAAATTTTTATGAGCCCAGATAAAGCAGCATGGGGGTAAGTTTTTAAACATTAAATAATTACACCACACACGCTTTTAATTTACACAAAACTTTAACTTTTCTTCATATTGAGATTTTGCGCTATTTTTATTAGAAGAAAAGGCAGAGCTGGCTTTAGATGGGCTAAACTTGATCTAACAGTCATGAGTAACTGTTTCAAACTTTCAACAGTTAGGAAAAGAGAATATTATTCTCAAAAAGCATCATTGCATATTACAACGGAGACTTCGAAAAACAGCCGTACAAGATCCCATTAATTCAATTTGCACTAATGGGACATTTTAATTTAATTATTTTTAATTAATCTATTTATTGTCAAGAAACAAAAATGATTGCGGATCAGTCGATGGGCTTGGGAAGGGGAAAACTTAAGATGAAATAAAAAGAGTCACAAAATGCATTCAAAAAAAAGTTTTAAAAAACGTTTAAAGATTGCTACTCTGATATGTAAAAATCACATCTAAAGCTACCCGATCCTGGGTTTTCAATTGATCGGGAATAAAAATAGTTAGAAATATTTACTCAAATGAACAATTTTCAGGGATTGTCTCTCTGAAAATGCAAATAAAGTGTGTGCTACTTTACATAATATTACAATTTCAATGATAGATTACTTTGAATTCTTTGTGAGATCTTTCTTCTTGCCGTATATTTATCAATGATTGATACAAAATATTGAAGTGACTCACCAGTTTAAGGTCTTCAAATGAAATGAATAGCATTCTTTCTGGATGTTCATCAAAAAACCTCCAGTATGGCAGGACATGATCAAACCAGGATCCGTACACCACTGAAAATAGTAATATTAATTCTAAACAAAACATGCGTATTTTTTATAAATCTAACATCTAAATGCATTCTAAAAATGCATCTCACATTTAATGATATCCCTCAACAATCCCCAGCACACAGTTACGGGCGAAACAGCTGGTCTCCGAAAACAGCTAATTAATTTTATTAAATAAGAGTAATAGTTTTAATTAAGTTATTGAGACTATCCTAAGCAAAAAAAGACTTCTATCTTTCTATTTTTTTTCGCTTTTTTTTCCTCGTTCAGTAATGTTTCTGAGCTAATTGACATAGTTCTTAAGCAAGAAGACTTATTAGAATATTATAAAATCATTAAAGAACTAAGTCGGATCTCAAAAAACTGTTAAAAACTTAAGCGGTCATATCTCAGTTTCTTTACCCAATTATTCAAAACTCAAAGTTACACCTTCTTGGCTTGCCAACAAAAGCATTTTTCCTTAAGTAAAATGGCCGTAACTATGTCGATTCTTCTAAAGAAATTTCTCTGCAGACAGCTGAGATTATCCATCTCTTTACTAGGATGTTAGTGTTGCGATGAAGCTCAGAATTGAGTCCTGTTGTTCTGCTCATTCCGATGCTTGAGGATGCAATCGCCATTCTTCAATTACAGATAACCAAAGAAAAAAAATGTTCTGTACTTTCCAAGAAAGTTGGATGTTTACTTTTTGCTCTTATAAATTTTGTTCAGCAATTTTTATTTCGTTTTATTCATTATGCTTAAGTCTTTGTTAAAAGTTTATGGCGTTTAACTATGAATTGCATTAGTATCTCAATTGTTTCAATTGCACTATGGGATAAGCACTCCACTGTAATTCAAGTGGTTGCTTATGTGAAGTTTTATCATAAAACAATTTGTTATAAAGAATAATTTTTCATTATAAGCAATATTTGTTGTCATAAAGAAACTTATTATTGAGAAATTTATAATAGGTAGTTCAATTTTGTTCATTAGATAACAGTAACTATTAATTTAGTACTTAATTTAGTACTTAATTTAGTACTAAATTAAAACTAATAAATTTAATAGAATGATTTATACCTATTTGTGACTAAACATAAGCATTTACTTTGCTTCATTTTAAATTCTAAGTCGATGATAGTGCAAATAAACTAACCAAACAAGAAAAGAGAAATTTTAATTTAAAAGTTTTTAAATAAGCCTTTACGAGTTGAAATATCCAAAAACTGCACATTTTCTTTGTTGAAGGAAAATAAATTCAAAAAGTATCAATATTTCTTACAAATATTTTAAGATTATTGTAATTAGTTTAATAAAATGCTTGGTTTTTATTAAGATCATCAAAAAATTGTCTCGTGATAAATCAATCGTAGTGATTGCGTTAAATAAAGGCATTTTTCTCTCCAGCAAGCTAAGAAAAGCCCTTAATATCTCCTCTAAGGGGGCACGAAGAGACCCTGATTACTTAATTCCTGATGATGCGAACTACAGTGATAGTACATCAGATTTGGAGGAAAATGTAGTTGTGAGTAAATAAATAAAAATTTATTATGGAACCAGATATTGATACTAATAGTAAGCAAAGTGGTATTATATGTACCAAAAATATACCATTTGAAAAAAAAATACAAAACTTCGCATAAAGAAAGAAAAATACCATAAACTTGATTAGGTTGCCCAAAACCATACATAAGGCCGGCTTGTTCATGTTCACGAAAATGTGCAACAAAAGTATCGATAGCAGGAAGAAATTTTATAAATTCAGAATACTTTAAAATTGTTGACTCAACTGATATCATAAATGCTGCATCTTGTTTCAATCAAAGAACAGTACAAAATATTGACACATTTAAGCGATTGGAATCATTTCAATATTTCTTAAACGATCATAATGGTACAATTCAAATTGTTTGCGAAACATTTTTTCTCACATGATAAAACAAACTACAAGGCATTAAGAACAGCAACTTAATATTCAAAAGTAGTAAAAAAAAATTGTTCAACAGAGTCTCACAACAAAACATATGAATATCCTATACTAATACTTATAAATTCATTTCAACCATCACTTTACTACAGTGAGCATGATCCTAATCGCTTATACCTCTCTAGTGATTTATCGTTTACTCAGATGCATAATGACTTTAAATCAAAATATACTAACTAGTGTTCTATGAGAAATATCGCTCGGTTGTTAAACAAATGAATATTTTGACTGTGAAGTTAGTTCTCGAAGAATGTGAATCATATGAAAAAAAGTTCAGCATGTACAGCAAAATTCATTCAAAAGACAATATTAATAAGTCATGTAAAGTATGTAAAAATGAAGAAAAAAAAGGAAAATAACATAAAGACAGAGCAATCGAGTCTCGTACTCGGAATTCTGAATATAAAGAAAGCAAAGATTCTATAGTATACTGTGCAGACACGTAAAAAATAATAATGTTACTACGTTTTGATGTTCCAAGTCCGCATTCTAGTCTTCAATGAGGCAGGGAAAAACAGAAGAGTTCTCCTTATCTTTAGCAGCTATATGACATGGAGGAATATTGAGTGGAAGAAAAGACGAGACAGCCATCAAATTATTTTGTGACACGATAACTGTTCATCGCAGAATAAAAATTGGTTTCTATTTTTTTTCTTTATAAAATAAATTCAGTAGAAATTGTTGTTTCAGAAATAATAATAAAATATTTTGAGCCGGGTCGCACCTTTATGGCTGCTGACTCGTTCCATAGGAAACAAACATTCCAAAATTTCGTTACAGCTGTAAAAAATGCGTCTTCAAGAGTAGAGGTGTTACCTGTGGACTTGAAATACTTTTTTGGGGAAATAAGATTATTCTTCAAATTGTAAGTTGAGCAGCACAAAATCGAAGCCGTATCTTCAAAGCATGGTAGAAGTTGGAAGTACAAAATCGACTTTATTGAATCAGAGTTTATCGAGTTCAATTTTATAAATCCCAAAGTGTCCAATAATAGTCACCTACCAGGCCCCAGAAGCAATGAAAAATTAAATGGAATTTCTGCTAACAAGAAGTTGATTTTGAAGAACCTTGACAGCCTCCTTGAAAAAAAATCGATTGCAGTTTTGTGAACAAGTTTCCGAATGTTATTAGTGCATTTTTCTGCTAAATATTACTGTTATTTTTAAAAAAAATTCATATTGTAAGTAAATGAAAGCTATCTTGTAACACAAATTCTTACTTTGTTTTTAATTTATCTAATACTTATTTTGCGAGAAATACCAATATTTACCAATGCCTTTACCACGTTTAATTTACATTGATAATGTATTTTTTGCAATTTTATGCTAGTAATGAGTATTATTACGTGAATTATTTATCAATATGCTTGAATTATTTTTACAGAAAATTGAATTCATTTTTTGAGCTACCCTTTGCTAACCTTAAAAATTTTGAAAGGCCAAAAAGGCGTATCTTAGTTAAAACTCTAAATAATTTTACTTTAACAACCGGTTAAATTAGTAAAGAATACTTAAATGATGAATAATTGAGGGTAACGAGTGTGTGGACTCCTTAGCCAAGGAAGGCAGAGGTGCCGACCAACCTTGCACCACCATCACGCTTGCAGACGCAAATGCAGTTGCAGGACGCAGACTTCTGCCCCATTCCTTCAAGAAACCCCTCATTACTGACTTTGATTGCTCCCGAATCTTAACATCAACAATTACTAGACAAAGAACAAATCACTTTAAAGAGATGAAAATTCTTCCCGACGAAATAAGAGCTTATATTCCCTGCAAGAACTGCACCGATGTCCAACTTACCCCGGATCACATTCTCGAGTGCCCAGCCCTTACCCCATATGTTTTACAACTGGGTATGGTGCCACTGGCTTCAGAACTTCGTGAGATCCCTTACAGTAATGATATATCGGATGCTGTTTCGAAGGCACACGAGGCCATTTAATTGTTCATGGACACGATAAAAAAAATGATGAATAAAAATTTTAAGAACAATAATTAATACAATATACGGGAGATGTGGAATCATCATTTACAAACGCGCTGATACCGAAAGTTTAAGTTTTTTGAGATGCGCTTAGGACGACAGTATTATCCTTAGGTAAATAAAGGGCAAACTGTGTTATATGCTTCTGATATACATCAAATAATCGTTTTTTTCCAAATTGTTTCTACTAATGAAAAATATTGGTGACTTAATGAACTTTTTTTTGTCGCTAGGTAACTCTAATCCTCTTCATTCCATTCAGCATCCTCTGTAGTTGTTTTACACTCATCTTTATTTTTTTTTCTTTTTAGAAATCAATGTTTTCCAAAAATAAGAAATTATACATTTCTTGCAACTTTTTTATTACATGATTTTTTTATGTAAGAACATTTTATTACTTTGATATATAATAAGGAAATGAATGATTGCTTAGATTTGAAAAATAATCATCTGCGCTCGAAAAAGAAATGTTTATGGTTCACTCAATAAGAAGTAATGAACGATAACAAATCGCGTAACAGTTCAAATTGGAATTAAATCTTTAAAAAAATAGCGAAAATAAATGGGGGGAGAATTTATTGTAATAACTTTCAACAAAATTAGAATTTTGAAGAAAAAAAAACTCGCGAAAGTTTATAAATGTAAATAGCCTTTTCAGCACATTAAATTTCAACTCTGTAACACGGCTGACAACTTTCTACGCTTTTTGCAAAAATTTATTCTGGTGGTATCTTTATAATTTAATCTGTTATTTTTTATTAATTTAAACTTATTTTCCCACCCCTATAAATATTTCAAAAGTTCATATGCAATGCAGCTTTGTTCCAGCTCTTTCGTAGTGAAGCTTTTAAAATGTAGACAAAATTACCAAAAATTCTGAAAGCTTTGGTTTTTAAATGTGTGCCACTCTATAAAATCTTTTGCAAAAAGTTGTTGGCAGGCTTGCTGTAATTGAATTTCTGCTGACTGCGGAGTGGTTCACTCTTGGTATTTTTTACTATATGTTTAATGGTTAATGATTCTCGAATTAATTGTTGAATGTTAGCTTTTTTATTCTATCGCACTCCCTTTTGTTTTCTACACATCATCAAAATTTCTAAGTTTTGTGCATCAGAATAAAGTTGAACACCTAAAAAGGTTTTTTAATTCAGAGAGAAATATCTTACTTGTCATATGTTAGCAAAATGCAGTATTTTAACACATGAGTGGTTTATGATTCTGTTTAATGCGAATAAAGAAACAAAATTGAGGCTGTACTTCTGCATCTTCAGCAAACGGTAGCCACGATTGGGTTCTCCGCTACAAAGCGATGAGGTAAGGGTCTATAAGCAATATATTTAAAGCATGTCTTACGAAGAGTTTATTACCTATCACTTTATTTTGTAAGGGTGCTTTTTTTATTTTGTAAAAATCATTTCAAATGTAATTATTTTCTCAGTTTTCAAACCTTTTATATCAATTGAGTACTTGCAATTCGAAAAGACGTGATTAGGCCCATTTCATGGTTGGGCTTAATCACGTTGTTGTGCTTAACAGCAGGCATTGGTTTATTGCGGTAATCGACGTGTGTGACTTACAGTATCCCTTGAGGTAGAGCTGTAAGAAGTTCTCCCACGAGTCTTTGTAGTTCCCAAGAAAGGTGCTCATTCTGTGATGATGATAGTAGGAGACGGCGTTATCTTTGGGATTCCTCACCACATAGATTATCTGCAAAAAAGTAAAACGACATCTCACTGAAATTGTTTCATCTATATTTGCGTCCGAAAGATTATCCCCATTAAATGCCTCGTTAACATAATGACTGTAAATTGAAAAGCAATAAATTTTTGCACGATTAAAATTATTGATTTTCAACAGTAAACTATCTAAAATATTTGGATTAAATCACTATTAAGATAACATTGAAAACAGACACATAATGTATCAACAAGTACGCTTTCTTTTTTAAATTATTTCTACTGAGAGTCATCAACTAAAAGCTTCATTTATGAATAAAGTTTAAAGCTTCCATAGTATTGTGAGCCCGGTAATAAATTACGAACGAGGACAAGCAGTTTTGAACAACCTTAGATAGAAATTATAGTGATAAGCTTGTAACTTGCATCGATTACTTTCATTTTTATTTGAAATAACTGTAAAAAATTTCGTAAACCTAGCTTAAATATTTATGGAAATACGGACATTTTTATAAAAAAAATCTAATATTTCTGTTCATATTCTTTTGTCATAATTTTGAAAATATTCAATAAAATTAATTGCAAAATTAATATTTTTAAATTTGAAAAGAAAAAACGTTAAAAATTGTTATGAGCATTTAGATTAGTTCTTTCATACTGCTCGTGTGTGGAAAGAATAATCTTTTTTTCATAATTTTGTTCTGAGCCGTATTTAATAACTAATAAAAAATGTCTGAATATCTTGAAAATTTAAAACTTTTTTCTAATCAGTTTTTGTACTCTTTAAAAAAAAGCTCTAAATGATAAAGATTTTTCACAAACTGTATTTTGTATCATCAGACAAAATTTAATAGCACGTAATACCTTACAATAATCGTCCGTACACCAAACTGGGATGGTATCAAAAAAGCATACCTTTATACCCCCCAAAACACCGATGTTTAATAGCACAAAATAAAATTTGTTAAAATGGCTGATCATCTCTTGCAGAAAAATAAGTAGGGCTCTCATTGGCAGGGCTACCTCATTGGAGCGATATTCAGAATCTTGGATCGATAAGGGTTTAAAGGGCCATTATTTTGCCAAAATTGACCCGATATAAAATTATCAGATTAATCTAATATTTTAAAGGCACTATTCAGACAATATCGGCCCTAAATAGAATTACCCGATTCAGTCGATATTTTATAGCCATTATTCAACCAATACATGCCTTATATTATAATTTTATTACAAGCGTTGAACATCGGGCCCAATTCTGAGTTTAGGACTACTTCCTTAGCTTTGTAATTTTAAACGCAGTTCAGAAGGCAAAGGAACTTATGGATTAATCAAGGAGGCAAACTAATTTCCGTGGAGGAATTTTTGATGAAACTAACCCACATTTGCGTTACATGAAGAGGAAGCCACGAAAATCTTATACGATTATTAGCCCGATGGCAAGGAGGTTATAACACATGATATATCTACCACTGAGGACATTATATGTCCACACTGTGGTCGGCGTGAGCCGAGAGCAGAATTCGTATCATTCAGCCTCCCTTGTTAATCGAACCTGGGTCGCGGTGACGAACGCTCTGTCTCCTAAGCCACTGTGGCTATTCACTCAAATTCATGTAGAATTTTTCAATAATTTTCAATACAAGCCACGAAATCCACTGATTAACTCGACAACAGTGGGACTTGATTTATTTACTCCACACATTTAGTTAAACGATTTTGTGAGACTCTAAACTATGCAACATGTGGATAAGCAACTAGTTTTTCGCCACGTGGCTCTATGACTTTTTCGTGTATGTCAATATGAACCAAAGATCACATTCAATGGCTAAGCAATCAAGCATCAAAATTAATATTTCAAAATAAAACTTAAAAAGTAAACTAATAAAAAGCTTTTCACTTAAATCCTATTTGGTACTTTTCAAATCTCGAGGGTGGGTAGCCCATGAATATTGTTCTAGAGTGCTACCTTTACAATTGAAGCAAAACATGAGAGCTCTTAACTACTCAGTTTTCTGCACTCAGAGTATTTTGACCAAGGTGAAAATACTGGTAGAAATCATTTCTGTTTATCTGATTGAATTTCACATTTAGTCTTCTAAACCGACTCTAAAAGGTCGACAATAGTTCAAGTGCAACTTTAGCAATCTAATTTTTAATATTCTGCATCATAAAGGATAAGAATAATTTTTTAAGCTCCGCTTAACATCGCGTAGTTTTCTGCACCAAATCACATCGTACAACCCCAGAATGAAGAAATGCAGCTTCATTATTTCTTTTAAAAATGTGTGTTTCTTTGTTCCATTAATTAATTAATTTTTTCGGCAGAGAGTCTTAAATTAAAGCATTTACTCAGAAGTTTCCTTGTTTCATATGTTTCCAAGAGTCCCGTATGTATCGTTAAATCTGATAGCAGTGTTTTAGCACTGGAACAACCGAATTCTAGACTTAGCTAATACCGTCATTGGGGGAGGGGGGTCAATTTGACCCTCATAAAAGCTGACGCTATTCCAATATAAATTGTTGTTTTAATTGATGGATACTGTTATAAATACTACATGTAAGTTTTAGAAATTAAAAAAAAAATTTTTTTTTTCGTTGTTCGTTTTTTTTCCTACAAAAATTGTTAATTGTTTTGTGACTTCAGTTTTTCAATTAGATTTCTTATTTTTTTTTAACAGCAATATTACAAACGTTGTAAGAAACATTCAAAACACCTGCTAGTTTATCATCCTATAGAATATTTCCTTAGAATCTAGTCTGCTAAGTCTTCGTTTAGGATCAGACCGAACATAGACCTGTAAAGACGATCGCATCCTGGGCCCCATTTATAGTGGTAGGCCTTTTTTGAAGGTGGAGCCCTGGAACTCCATTTAAAACACAAGTAATGAAAAAATATAATAGGTTAAGATAACATATTTTATAGTAATTTGTTTTCTTCTCAGCATTAAGATTAAAATAATTCTTTAGAACTTTATTCAATGAAATGATTCAGATTGAATGCATATATCAATTTAAATAACTGTAAAGAACGGAGTTCAATGCAAGCGCAGAATCTGCGTTAAAATGTCGAGGCACCAGCCTGGCTGTAAGATGATTGATTAACAATCATCCGTTCTAAGTAGAAGAAAAAAAAAATTAAAGGAAAAATGTAAAAGAAAAATACTTCTACCCAAATTATACTTCTGTTTATAATTACTAGCCACTTCCGGCAACCAGCTGGTCTGCTTTTTTAATTAAGTAAAATTTCAAGTATTTCTTGGAGATTTGAAATCGCTCAGTCAAAAATGAAGACGATATGTGAGTGAACTCATATTGTTCAAGAGAGAGTCAATTTATTTTTTGTCATTTGCGTGCTGTCGGTATCGGTGTGAATATGATATTAAAATGTCTAGTACAAAATATGCTAATATTGAAAAGAAAAAAAATATGCTAATTATCTCTATGGGGTCTTTGATGGATAATAAATCAGTTTAGCAATTTTGTGAAAATCAAACTGTGCACTTATTTGCTATTATTAACTATGCGAACTAAGGTACTTCATTTGTAAGGGTTTTTCACCATAATGAAGCGAATTTCAACTATCACAATTTTTTACTGATTAGAGAATACATAGATCTGAATCATAAAACAATACTCTTTAAATCAAAATATAAACTTTGAAAAAATAATTTGACTTTATGACTTTCGAAGCTTTCTTTAAAAAACTACAAAAACTTAAGACAGAAAAAAATTTTTTTTTTCGTAAAAATGTCCATATTTACATAAATATTTAAGCTACGTTTGCAAAATTTCATACAATTATTGCAATTAACAATCAAAGTAATCGATGCAAGTGACAAGCTTATTTCGGGATTTTCTGTCATAGGGTATTCAAAAAAAATTTTTTCGTTCGCAATTTATTTTTGGTTTCTAAAACTTCTGAAAATTTTAAATTTTAGTGATGAAGTATGAAAAATCACATGATCTAGATACCTCTGAAGTTGCAAAATAATTCTCTATGTAATTAAAACAAATGTCTATAAATGAAAGTGCTCCTACCATTATTGTAGGGTAGTATATATAGAGGGTAATCATAATTAAAGTAAAAAAATTGTAAAATCGAGCCACTTGTCAGAATGACCAGAGTAATCAATAAGAAAGGAAATACGATATGACACAAAGGGGAGCAAAAGTTACTTTAGATGGTATGTTACTCAATAGAATAAGCAACTGGCAACTTATACAAAAGTATAATACTACAATCGATGCCTTTTGGAAATTATAGAGTTTCACCATCATTCCTTTCCCCTAGTATGGCCCCCAAAGCAACTCCCCATGCAATTTAATACTTCTCGTTGCATGGTTTCATCTGAAAAGTGTTTTCCCTTCCTAAATTGTAATCTTAGCTGAATTGAAGATACGTTTGTAACGATCATCACACTCAAATACATATGTTGATGATTTTCAGAATTTAACTAGTGACTGGAAACATATCGAGCATTTTATATTATTCAACATACAGGTATTATTGTTTACTTTTAATTGTTTAGTGTTCTTCCCTTGTGGCGCAGTGCACTGTCATAGTTATTACTTTCCTAATAAAACCATATGAGAAAGCACTAAGAAGATGTTTTCAGCAATTAAAAATCGATTTCATTGCTGCTTTCACATTTCATTCATTTGGATTGAAATATCATTGGTAGTGCAAACCAGATACGTTATGACTAGTGAAATGACTCCTATCTCTACATTTTTAAATATTTTCTTCTCCTTAAATATCTTTTCCTTTTGATAGTAAATACTCAGATAGTTTCAGGTGGTACTAGCAGATGTTTTTTTATACCTTCTTTTAAATTAGGTTCAATAATCAATCTGTGCACTAGATTTATTTAGTCACAAGTTTCATAAAAAAAAAACTATTGAAAATTTATGGGAATATAAATTAAATCATTTTTTCAATGACATGTTTAATTTAACCAAAAAAAAGGGGGGGGGGTTCCGCTTGATTAAAATATTTTCTCACACATGTAACATTTCTTTCTAAAACTTATCATAAAAAAATTTAGAAAAAATTACTTAAAATACCCTAAAACCTAACTGTTCACATTAGTTTAAAAGTATAATTTCTGTGGATATTAAAACTTTTGTTTCAAAATGCATTTATCAAATCTAAATTTCATTTCAAGTTCAAAACGTATGATCGTTTTCCACAACAGTTTCATAACAGAAAACGCACGAAAAAGGAAAAATTCGGCACAAAAAATAAATAAATGCATAAAATAAAATATCTTAATAAATTTATTGTGAGGCTTACATTTTAATAAAGACGAATTGAGAAAAACGTAAAGCAAGTAATTAGAAGGAAAACACAGGGAAACAAAACACAAAGGAAATATAAGAATAATTGACATTAAGCATTTTATTAATTATACAGTTTACATTAATTGAAGTATTTTTAATTTAAAATCGCATATCATTTTATTTGCATAAATAACTACAATGTTTTTTTCTCAAAAATTTAAATAAAAAAAGATGTTTTTTTTTTTCCCTAAGTGGCAGGTCCTGAACTCTCGTTCTTCGCTTCGGAAGATGCCGGACGGAATCGTTGCTCATTTAAAGCTACACGGTGGGCATCTGAGTACCTAAGTCCCGGAGGCGAGCAAAATTACCCACGCCACACTATACCCTTTCATAGGGTGCGCCACATTCACGCAACAGAGGACAACACACAGAGAAAAACATCGATGCTCTGAGGGGGAACCGAAACCGCAACCATTTACTTCGCAATCAGGCAAGCTAACCGCTCGGCCACCTGGCTAGCATAAAATGGATGGTGTTTTCTACACTAGGGAACGCTGCAAGCTCGGGACTGCTTAAATTTCCGGGTTACTGTTACAGTTGTATTTTAAAGTCATTTGGCATCATTGTGTTTTGAGATACTTGCAAACAATGTATTTGATTACTTATTACTTATGTTTACAATGCTAACAATACTTGTGTTTACAATACTAAAAGTGTTAACACTAACGTAAGATGGTGCACAGCTTGCAACACGAACAAACAGTAATAAACAAATGGAAAGAGGCCAAATCAAGACTGCCAAAAAAGCGAGTTATTCAAAATCTAGCAACCATGTCACCTTTTTTAATAATAAATAACAAAATAACTAAAACAAATTTTCACTCCAAACTCCCCAGAATTACATAATAACATTAATATCTTATGAAATACGGCAGATTTGAGCTCAGAAATTATCTAATTTATTTCTTTTATTGAAAACAAAATTATCCGTTTGAAAACATCGCCTATCAGAATAACATGTAGTAAGCAGCTGCAAACTTTTTAACCGGAACTAGAGTAGGTCCCAAGCTCGAGAGTGTTATTGTTTACATTTCTATTGAAAACACCATCCATAGAAGAGCAAGGTTTAGACAACAAAAAAAGCTTAAAGAAGAAGAGATTTAAAAGAAGAGATTTAAAAAAAAATTCATTCAAGTAAGAACATTACCATAGACCTTAATAGAATCATCAATTATGTTTGGCAGCAAGGTAAGAGAATTCATTGTAGTTGTACGATGACACATTTCAATTGAATCAATTCACAATTGAATCCATTTTTTCTTGTCAATTATGACTTAGCGAAAAGAAAACCGAGGCAATGAATTTTGTTTTTATAGATGTTTTATCGATCATCTGATCAATAAAATCCGTTTTCTACAGCACCTGTTTCAGTGAATAATGAAAAAAATAATAGCCTTACCTCTAGTTATTTTGTTGCTTAGCAACACTCTCATTCTTGATGGTCCATGTTTACCACCCCCAACGCATGTTTCATTTATGCAGAAAAAATTAAATTAATTTATTTAAGAGGATTTATTATTATCGAGTTATACAAAGTTTTTGAACGTAAACATTGCATGTAATAGACCAACCATTACCTTATTCTGCATTCTCTTGATTTGAATCAGTGTGTCAATAATTATTCATTTAAAATACTCATTGCATTAGTTTTTTTTTGCTCTTTTCCCTCATTTTTTTCCCGAAGTTAGATTTTGGGTATTAAAAATGTAAATACACTTTCTGAGATGACAGATGTCTGGCAATGTTTTCATTTTCGAGAACATGCGTGAACGCGCACTCTTAGAAAGCACATGGAATTTAAATTTCCTTGCATTGAAATAATTAAATAATCTTATGAAACACGAGAAGAAAAGAATCTGAAGCGATAAATTTTCTTAAAACTAAATAAAGTTAAAAAAATTTGCCATTTTTGTCCCAACAAGTTGTATTAGAGCACTAAGTAATTTTTTGAATTCTATCACTTTACCTTCTACTACATTTGTTTTTATAATAATAGAGCAATAAATTGAAATTACTCTACAGGGTCAGGTATTTAATTTAGTAAATATCTGCAGTTGTATGATAAGGAGATGTAATATTTAGTGTAACTAAGAACATGGGGTACGTTTGTCCGCCGAGATATGTCAGACTATGAAAATAATTCAGAGTAACTTCATTATAAGCATTATTATGGTTATTTTTATAAAGTTATGCAGTTAATACTCAAACTTTTGATAATAATTATTTTCACTTATTTAAATTTTTTTAGAAGTAGAAACGTCTCAAGTATTCTTTTTCAAAAATTTAAGTTGCACAAGTCTGAAATAAGGAATAAAAAAATTTCAGATAATAAAACTGCACAAATATTTAATAAAATATAAACTTAAATTACTTTAAATTCATCTGGTCTACAAATATGCATTTTTATTAATTTTATTAACAAGAATTCCAAACAAGTTTTTTGCTTTCTACTTTCATTAAGTTAGAGTAAAATTTCAAACGTAACTCTAAACAAAACTAGACGAAAAACAGAATATTTTGAAAAAACAGATAAATTTAACAGAATATTTTGCACATTCACTACTACATTTTATTTTACACAAGAAATTTGAAAGGAATTTAGATTAAAAAAAATTATCGAACACTACCTTCTTTTTAAGAAATTATGAAAAGAATAAAATTTGCTACAGATGTAATATTTTAAAATTATGTTTGCATGCTTTTACATCTAAATGCTCTGTAGTGAATTAAATTTATGTGAATGCAATGGGGATAAAAATATTTTTATTTTATTTACAACAAATGTTGATAAAATGAGGGTGCAGGAAAATGATATAATTTTTATTTTTCTTGAACCTCGTTCAGGAAATATCAGACATTTCATTGCAAAGCTATTGTCTTGATATGCCTTTTTCAATTTATCAGGAATTATTTAACTTTTATGTCCAGTTTCAATATGCAGAATCAGTTAGCAGGAGCACCAACAATTTTTTTTAAGTAAAATTCAAAAAATAATTGTGTGCAGTAAAAATTATTATCTTTCATTTTTTTTAAAGGATGACTTATTTATTATTTATTATTCCATTATTTAAAAAAATGATGGAACTGTATACGATTGCATATTTTTTACGTGGTTTCAGCGTGTCCCGTGAGGTTGTCTAATGTCCCCCCTCCTTGGAATTCACAGTTCAAGATTTTAGGAAACTAATAAAAAATTTCCAGTAAAAACACTTTAAAAAAAAACTCCTGAATAGTTAGGAATATGTATATGAATAATTTTTTAATAAGATAAAATACAAAACCAGAAAAGTTAATCCACTAACCAAGGTTTTTAAGTCATCAGCCACGCGCTTGACCCAAAGTATCTTGTGATGCAATTAAACACAAAAATTGTTATTGCGCAGACTTTATATGAGATTCAATCAATCATTAAAGTGGCGACTTTCATTCTTAGTTTTACGACAAAACCATTAAGTTGTGTCGCACAGGAGAATTCTCTCTCCATAAAACAAAAGTTATAAATAGCATTTAAAAGATACTTCATTTACATGAAGCCCATTCTTAGCAACATTTCTCTCTTAAATATTTCGTATGGAACACCAGGGGAAGAAAGTTTTCTTTGAGGTAATAATGAGACAAATATTTCAAGCTGCACCACCCATTTAATCAATATTTGAATCAATAACCGGATTCTATATTTAAGAATGTATTTTTTTCTGTTGTCTAATGTTCGCCTTAATTTTGAGTTTATGCAATAAAGGTGCCACAATATTGAAAAGCAAACCCAATTATAAATTTTAGCGATATGATTAACGTTAAAACAGAATAAATCATATCACATAAATACGTAAGTTTCGATAGAGTCTTCGTTTGTGTTAAGTCATATCTGATGGGTTCATTAGTCTGTATTGAAATTTTACTTCATTGAAAACGTTTAAATAAAAATTAAAATCGGGGGACACAGTATGATTTAAAATTTTCAATTACGATTAAAAGTTTGACAAGTGCAAGAAATTTTATTTCATTCTAAAACAATCAGAGAAGGAAAGGTGCCTCTACTTTCTGGAGTTCAATGAATTAATTTCTTTTTTTCTTAACTTTAAACATTTATGTCGACGGTTTAAACTGATTTCACAGTTTGGAGTGTTCGTCACTGGCTCTCTGTTATTAAATTTTCTTTCAAGAATTTGATTTAAAGAGGTGTCAATAATATAGTGTGTAAAGTAAACGCGTGTTGTCAAAAGAAAGTGAATATTATTTTGAATTCGTAAAAGTCTTACTTTACATTTTCCTTGCTTTAGGCTTTTAGGAATCAGAGATAAGGGGAGATGTGTTGCCATCAACCTCGGTGATTTCAACTTCCGCAAATGTCGAAGATGGCCAATGGGTCTCCCCACTTCCAAATGCTCCACTCTATAATTAAGAAGCTTGTTCTTCACTTTGTTTGGATTGCCGTCATTGTAGATGAGAGAGACAATTTCTTCTGTCCATGTCGTTCCTGTTTTTTAAAAAAAAAACATATTTCTTCAAACAAATTACATATCTGTTGATTTTACCATTTATATGCAGTGTGTTTCTGAACTTTACAAACAACCTTGGAAGATTGAGAAGTGCAGAGTGACCTGAAATGTCATTGTGCATGGAACTAGTCCAAATTTTTCAATGGCCTCCATATTCTCTTTTATCTGAATTATATTAATTGACATATTTTATGTATTTTTTATTTGAAAACTTATGATTACGGGACCAGATTGGTGAATTCGGTAAATGAGTCGTCGAATCACTAAGCTATGATAAAACTGCTATTTCTGAGAATGTTTAAGCAAAATTTTTGAAAATAATTATTAGAAAACAGTTAACATAATTACAGTACCCTTTTTTTACGAACTACCAATGTAAAATAGGGATGCCGCTGAAATGAAATTATGACAATTATTTCAAAGCTAAAATAGTAAATTATATGAAAAATGAAATAAGGAATAAACAATCTTTCTTTTCTCTGCTAGATCAAACCATAGAATTATTTTCAGGAGGAAAAATTTTTTTGAATTTTCCTGAAACGTATTTGAGTGATTTTCAAATTTGAGATATTTCTGAGACTGAAATCGTTTTAAAAATAAAACTAAAATTTATCGATCTTGGTGATTAATATTGATTCTTGTATATGTCTTTCAAGTTTTGATAGTCGGCATCAAGATTGAATTAAAATTTAAACATGTGGGGTTTTTATAAGTCATTATTACAATAATATGCCAGAGACCAGCCAATTTTACACAGTTGATTTTTTTTACTACCACATATAAACCATTTGGACTTGAAACATCATGATTCTTTAACTTCTCCCTAATCATAAAGGCAATATTAAAAATTCCTCACATTATCAACTGAGTAATTTTAAAAACGATTATCGTTGGCAACAGACAAGACAGTAGCAGACCGGACACTTCTCTTGGACAACAAAAAGAACATTAAAATTTTTTTAAATATATCTTCTAGATTTATTGTAAAATGCATTTATTAAAAGACATAAGTTTTTTGATGCCATTTTACACATTGGAAGCAGGAAAAATATGAAGAAAATTTGTTTTGACTTTATTGTTTCATACAGCCTATTTTCTTTTTGTTAAACAATTTATAGAAAAGGAAGTGTGTGACAAATTCCTATAATATTATGCATAATAACTCTTAATCGTATGAATTTTCTGAAATCACAAACATCTAAGCCAACAGTTTATTTATAGCCGTTAAGGCTATCAAAAATATTCTTTTGTCGGACATCGAAAATGTCTCTAATTTAAAATCCACCCATTTAATATAAATTTAGTTCCCTCAGAAAAAACTGTTTTCACTGCAGTGAAAGTATCCTTGTTGGAAAACTACTTTTACAGAGAAAATTTTTCACCTCGACACAACCTTTCCTTCTTTTCCACCTCTTTTTTGTTTAGAAAGTTTTTAATTGAAAGTTCTTTCTTTTTTTTAAACTTTTAATTAAACTTCGAAGAGGAATTTAATTATTTAATGCATAAAAAAAAAGTTCTGTAAAAGTAGGGTATATTTTGAGATTTTTAACACGACACTGTAGAAATGCATGGAAAATCGGCTTCACGGCAAATAAAGTATCGTTGTTGAAAGACTAGTGTTACAGACCACGGAACTCTTCTATTCTGAAGTTCTACAGAATTTACTTCTCTCGCTTTTTTTTTTTCAAGAAATGTGTTACTGAAAATGTTTGCCCAGACTCTTATTGTTATTTAAAAACTAATTTAGTTATTTAATGTGTTAAAAAGAAGTTTTGCTTAAGTAGGATAGATTCTGAGATTTTGATATGCCAAATTCGTCTCCCCAAAAAAGATCGACTCCACTAGAAAGATAGTATCTTTATGGAAAGAATACTTTTACGCAGACAACTTTAGATCCCTCTAACCCGATGCTCTCCAATAAAAAAAATCTTTTTATATGAACATTTAAAAATTAATGAATATTGTAAATAAGCCTTAATTGCTTAGTTATATTGATTTTGCGTTATTAAACTCATTAATATTGAACTCTTTCGGTAACAAACGAATTTTCGGATGCAATATATCATTTTCAAAAAAGAAAAAAAAACACGCATTTTTAATTACTGAAATAAAATGCCAAATAACATTTTTAAACATTCAAATTAATTTCATACAAATTTCTAATTATATTTTTTATTATATTTGCTATTGTCATTATATTTGCTGTATTCTAGAAAAATAAAGTTTTGTCTAGGTTTGGATGTCTTATTTATTTTCTGCTCTGTTACTAGCATAATTATAATAAATTTATTGCTGTAATTTCCATTTGATTTTTTTTATGAAATTCTCAAATTACGCTACTCAGTTTAATATAAATATTTCTTTTTCTTCAATTGAACCTGACAAGTATTTCCTCCTCAGTTACTCTTCCACTCTATTATCGTGTAAATTTAGAGTGACTTTATTTATTGACTTTTAATTTAGCATTTCCTTACATATTAAGTGAAATTGCAGGAACATTTAAAACTATTGAAAGCCTTTGTTTACATTTTTCCACTTTGTTACCAACCATTTAATTTCTCTTTTTCTTTCTATACAATTTGACCAAAAGCAATTTTTCATGATTTACAGAATAAATTTGGCTTGAGTGTAAGTTGTAACTGCTTCAGGTAATATATTTTATTTAAACACTTTTGAACATTGGTTGCAGATGAGAACGTAAGTTTAATTTTTTTTCTTTATTTTAAATTCCAAATCAAACCGTGCACTTCTGTTACAAGTCTCATGGACAAGAAATATTCCAATTGTCCTGAAATTTTTAAAAGTAGTAGCTCAAATATTTAATTTTGCAAGAATTTTTTTCAAATTCCTCTCTATTTTTGAAAACGTTCCAGATATGAGCAACAGAGGTGAGCTGCCCACCACAGATATTTCCTAAGGCGCCTGGAAATTGCGACCATATTACTGATTTTTTAAATTGATTTTTTTTCCTTCTTAATTTAAGCAAATCTATTAATAAAAGAACGGTAAGAAATTACTTTACAGCGAAATAGATTTCTTTTTTTAAATTTTATTTTATATTAAAATTTTTAGAATGTGCCAAAAGTGATTCAAATCATCTGCCTTTTTCAGTTGATAAATTTTGAAAAATAACATTTATTTTTTCTTAATCAAAATTGCTTTGCTCGAATTCCCTACTTTTGGATAGTAAAAAACAGAAAGTCTAGTTATAACGCGCATCAATTCTGTCAACCAAGCAATTTTAGAGAATTTGGTTGAGTTCTATTTATTTCTATTATTATTTTATTAGTTCTATTTATTACTACCTAATAAGCTTATTATAAGAATTGCAGTTTCTGTGATATTACAATTTTATTTCCAGTGCTGTCGATTAATTTCTTAACTATATTCTAGTTACAATAAAAAAATGTCCAATGTTTTACTCGATGAAGAGATTATTTGATTAATAATCTGGAAAGTTGATTCCCAATAATGATAAACAATTTTGAGTTGATTCCGTAAAATTGTTTGAACGCAGTTGTCCACTAAATGTATTAAAATAAAATTATAACTTATTACTTATCCAGAATAATTACAAAAAATACAATTAAATTCTTGCGTTTAGCTTTTATTTGTTCTTAAGAAACTAAATAAAAAATAATAGCCAACTAAAAATAATAACTGTCCCGAAATTAAAAATGACTAACGTCCCGCAGTGGACTGATCGTTAAGACACGGTTCCCATCAGATTACCGAAGTCAAGCATCACTGGCTGTGGTCAGTGTGTGGGTGACCACTTGGATCAGTCTGCGTAAGGACCGAGGGTGTGCGGTATTGGTCCTCGTTAAACTGTGCTACCGTAAAGTGCTCGACTTCGCATGCAGGTCGTCGGGCTACCGAAGCGGGGGTGCCATCCCCTCTGCAGAGGATCGAAATTGTGATGGCATGTCTCCGGATCATCCTCAGGGATGTTTCCCAGACCGTCGCCAATAGCCCATTGTGCAGCTCTAGTGCGACGTAAATGAACAACAACAACAACAAAAATGATTAACTCTTTCGGTGATCAGCCCCAGACCTCACAAACTAGTCGTTTTGCTGCTCCTCACCACATGGTGTATGACTTTTTTTTTTTTTCATTATACAATATTTCATTGATAAACAACTCTACTCAACTCCTAATACTGAGAGAACCCCCAGAAAAATAAGAAAAGATTGATGAGTTAAACCTCTTTTCCGAAGATAATAAAAAGTAAAGAAGAATGAGAATCACAGAATATCTGACAGCTCCCAAAATTTGACTTAAAAAAATAAAAAAATATCATTTATTTATTTTTCATCGAGTAAATTAATCTTAACACATTTAAAATAAAAAAGTGCAAAATTGTTTAAGGTGCAAAATCAAACTACAAACAAAAGTTGCTTTTTTAAGAACAATTAAATTTAAATTTAACAGCAAATTAAATACCGATGCTTATAAAATATTTTGATATTTCGCCACTACGATCTATTTAATCCATCACAAATCTATCGAGAACTGTCATGTTTTTAGCATTCAGACAGTCTTATGTATCGATCCTATTTTTCATACTACCTATTTAACTTAAGAAAAAGTTTGTAACAAATGTTAAAAATAAATGCATTGATTTGACTAAAAACAGGAAAAGTTCCATTCTAGTTGCATGCAAGTTTCTAATTACGGAACAGCAGTTTTTTTAAAATATTTGGTATATTTGCATATTTGTAAAGGGCAACAATAGATCAAAGAACAGAAACATATGTAAAGAGATTTCACTCTAACGTCTGTTGGTATCTAATAAATAGTTCATGTGAAAAAGGTATTATTAAAGTATGAGAAAAATTAAATAATATTTTTCAAAGTGCTTGAAAATGTCTGTTATGATATTAGATACTTATTAATTGATTCAAAAACATGTCTCTAACTACCTCTAACTGGAAAAACTCTAACTGTTTTGTTAAACTATATTTTAATCTGGTATAGTTCATAATAGTATACTATATCATACTTAAAATCAATCGTAGACTTATCTATCGATGTGCTTATACTTATAATCATATTATAGCGTATAGAAGTCACTTTTCATTTGTAAACATTTTGATATATTTATATAATTTGTTTTTTATTTGTAGCATGAAATTCTTTTTCTCGTCATTGCAAACAAAGTGTTTAAAAATTCAAATCTTTCAGGCAAAGACCTATTCACATAATTTCTTTAATATTGGTTTTATTAAGACTTACTGACAATTTTAATACAACTCTCTCTCTCCTTACATAAACAATAATTAAATTGCTCTCTTTCTCTTCAATTTTAGTATACTTTGTATATATATACAAATT